TTACATTTTTCAAATTAACGTGCACTTATAGCCTGAGTTTCTGTTTTTCTAAGAAATGGTGGATTAAAAATAGGGACCTAAAAGTGAGATATCTACTTTGTGCGGCTTGAGGGCTTTTATTGACTGACTTATACGCTAGAGCAACTTTTGACGTTGAATCTTAAAATTACCACGTGCAAGTTATTTAAAGCAATTAGCTGAGGCTGATTACTTTTGTCGCCTTTTGTATCATGGGCAGCCGAAGGTTGAAAGCTGTTGAACAGAATTAAATTTCTGAGAATTCATGAATTCCGTAAAGTAGCCAGTATTTTTATAGCTATACTTATAGTTTGGATATTAATATCATTTAGAACTGATAGGATATTATTTACTGTTTCATGGATTGTTTTAACATTCTTTTTTACCTGCGCGAAAGATTTTTAAAAATATAAACTTGTCTGGTTGTATGACAAAATTAGGCTTAATTTTACCTTCAGTATATAATTTCTTTGGCAAAAGGGGAAAGGGAAAAATGAGTCAGGCTCATGTTTTTCCAGATTTCTGATAATTTTTTATAACCATGTCCATTTATTCCTTGTGTGAAGCAATACTAATTGGTGTTTCTGGCTTCTGCTATGGATACAAGTTTGGACTATTTTTTTGTGAATTAATTATATGTGTGAAATATTAACTTCATCCAGACTTTGCTGTTAAATCGTTGTTCTGCTGATGCTTGGGTGCAATTTCATAGGGTACAGGCCATTTATTTTAAGATTCAGTGCATTCTTCGTTTGAAGCATTGGAATATTATTAAAAAATTCCATACATAGCAGCCTTTTCTATTGCTATGTTTGTATTTCTTGTGAATTATCCATTTACCGTATTCATCATTCATAACCAACACCATATCCGTGTACAAGAGAATTGACATATATCAGAAATGATAGAGCAACTGGCAAGCCAATAATTAATTTCCCCATTTTAAGGGTTCAAGTTCTAGATAGCAGGTGGCCATATATTAATAGAGACTTGGTTTGCCCTACACAAAAAATTATGTGGAAATATACGGAGAAACTATTTCCTACTTCTTTGCCGCCTGAAATCATCAAATTATAATTACTTTGTTCGAAATTGTCTGCGTGCTGAATGCTTGAAATTATGATGATAAGAGTATATATGAATTTAATTGCTGATGCAGAACATCCTATCCTGGGTAGTTTAGAGCATCAAATGTATGGTTTTGTTTTGTTTTCCAAAATATAGTTATCTTAAATACTATTTTCTTGTCTGAGTTATTTATCTAACTTGGTGTGTCACACATGGTCCCAGTGATACTGTATTTGCTGTTCAATTACTTGTCCATTGATGCTTATTTTCATATTTGATTTACAGATTGCTTCAAGATATGCTGCTGTTTCCAAAAGTTTTCAGGAAAATTGCCAGGTTTCCTCATGGTCTAGATCCTATAGTACTGAAGCATCTTTGCCAAAGGATGAAAACCGTGAAGGGTATGCAGTTAGCTCTCTCTCTGTGTGTGCTTTTCTCTATTGGTCATTGCTTTCTTTTGCATGTTTATAAGTTGGCATAATGTCGTTGAACTAAGGGCATGTTTGTTGCACTTGCCCTTGCAATAAACCAATTTGGTTCTGAATATTGTTACTCTTCCATTTTCTCTTTACCAGTGAAGTTCAAAATCTCGGAAAGGATCATTTGAGCAGAGTTGTTTGGTTTCTATTGTTTTCTAAAGAAAGATGTCAAGGATTATTGCTTCTATTAAACTCTGATGAGACGAAAGAATTGTCCATGTATGGCCGAACTTTGATGCTGGCTCATGGGTTTTTGAAAAGAAGTTTATTTTTCATATGCTAAGAGATTGGGCAGCTGTTCTGTGTATTTGGTTTGTGATTTGTTGCTTGATTATCCTCAACTATTACTTTTTTACTTTCCCTCTTTCTAATACAACTTTTTCCCCCCTATTCAAAAGGTAACAGTTCCTTGGTCAGGGACAAATTTTTTAGCTTCTCTAATTCTTAAATATCTTGAAAATTTTTATCAGATATTGCTCTTGTGGACATGACTGCCATGCATGCTTCTGCTAAAATTACTTTGGTTGTCTTAGGTTCAAGGGTCATGATATGCTTGCTCCGTTCACTGCTGGAGGGATGGCAGACTACTGATTTGAATCCTCTGGTTATAGAAAGATCAGAGGTGAACTTCCTCTGTTCCTGCCTAAAAATTTATTACATAACAGGCTTAGTTTATGGTTACAATGTATATATGCTTCATTTAAATTTCAAACAATGACTTGTTTCTCAATTTTGGAATTTACCCAATTAATGGAATCAGGGGAGCTATGTATATGACATGAATGGGAGAAAATATCTTGACTCACTCGCTGGTTTATGGTGCACTGCTTTAGGTATTTATGAGTTCTTTTCTATCTATTTCTTCTTTGCTTAATCATTGATTTCTCGTTTCCCTTTTACCTTTTAGATGACACAAACATGTATTTGTTATATGCTTTTGATATATATTGTTTCTGGAAACTTTTCATCTCCTGTCCTCTACCCACCAAATATAAATGTGTTGTACATATCTTCGCCTTTTTTCTTAATCCAGTATCTGGCAACTAAGGTTGAAAAAAGCAGTTAAATTTGAAATTATTATTTCCAAGCATAATAACATCAAACGAGCATGACCTACAAGCCATGATAAGGAAAAAAAACATTCTGGTGAAGTCACCTAGAATTTAAAAACAGGCTGCCTTTTGAGTTAATGTTGAAGTGAAAAAACTACTTTTACAATAGTCAATTGATTGTTGATCTACTTACACGACAACATACAAATGTGTATCTTTTTTATATATAAGAACGGTTCACTATGATATCAATCTTATATTGCAGGAGGGAATGAACCACGCCTTGTTGACGCGGCAACTACACAATTGAAAAAGTTGCCTTTTACCACTCATTTGGAATCGAACTACAAAACCATCATTGGTAGTCTTACACTCGGCCTTAGTTGACCCAGACATAATTTTGCACTTGTTAATTGCACCTGAACTTTTACATTATTTCTTTCTTTCATTTGTTCTTTCCTCTTCTTGCAAAAGAAAATATATATGTATTAATACTTTGAAACTTCTAGTTCTACCTCCTTAATTCATATGATGTGGCGTCATGCAAAGGTTGTTATGTTATTTTAAGCTTATCCTTATCCAGTTGATACGTCTGTTAACTTTAGGTTTCATTTATTTATTAATTACCCATCTCTAAAATTCTCTCTTGATATTGAATGATTCATTTTCTATTTTCTTATGTAAACATAAATTTAACCTTACAGGATCTAGCCAGGGACCTTCTAGAACTTTTCACAGCCAGAAAAATGGCAAAAGCTTTTTTTGTTAACAGCGGATCAGAAGCCAATGATACTCAGGTTCGTTAGGTTTGTGTAGAAAGCCGTTTTAATGTGTAACATAACATTTTCTTCATGTAATTTTATGGCGGACAGCTTGAATTATGCTATAGTTTTTCCTATGTACTAGAAGTTAATATCTGGACAGTTTGTGATATCAACAATAGGAAAATTCTCAACTTGGCAGATTAGCATTTTCAGAAATTAAAACTGATCATGAAGCATGGACAAAACATATGACCTCATGACAAACTCGTCACTCACCATATTGTGCATGAAAATATTCTCACCTTACTTCTTTTATTTTGTTCATTAACTAAATTTTACTTTAATAATCATATATGCCATTATATCTGAAGCCCAATATCATAAAACTTTGCAGACCCAAAACCTATGAGTAATTAGATAACTGGATATCAGAAGCCAAAGCTAAATATGTTCTCTCAGTGCAAATTTAGTCATCTAAGTTCTGAATGAAGTCAAATTAACTGTGCAGAAAATTATAATTAGATATTTTAAGTGGAATCAACATAGTTAAGATGGGCAGTAATTGCGGTAACATTTGCTCAGGTTTACATCACTTTTCCTTGCAGGTGAAATGGTATGGTATTATAACAATGCGCTTGGAAGACCAAATAAGAAGAAATTTATAGCTCGGGCAAAATCGTATGTTGATATTTCAACTAATGATGCTTTTGTGTATCTTGATAGTATGCATAACAGCTTATATTTCTTGACGTTTCTGATAGGTATCATGGTTCAACGCTGATATCAGCCAGTCTCTCCGGGTAGAATGAACTCAGGATATTTGCCCCCCTGATTGCATCAGTGCTTTTGTTCTGAATATTTTATTTATTTATGAAAATGAGATAAGAACAGAATTTTAATCAGTTAACTGAAAATCATACTTCAGTCTTCCAGCTCTGCATCAAAAGTTTGACTTGCCTGCTCCGTTTGTGCTGCACACTGACTGCCCGCATTACTGGCGGTATCACCTTCCAGGTAGTCTCTTTTAGTAGGTCATGTTCTTAAACCTGTTTTATTCACATGGATAATGTGGCTAAATGTTATCATGCATGCTGATGCCTATCCCAGGTGAGACAGAGGAAGAGTTCTCAACCAGATTAGCTAAAAATTTAGAGGAACTAATTTTGAAAGAGGGACCAGAGACAGTAATGCTTTAAAATATCTACAATTTTTTTTTTTATATTTTAATATTGATTGTACCACAGCAACTTTATATGGCTTTTCTTATACAGATTGCTGCATTTATTGCTGAACCTGTTATGGGTGCAGGAGGTGTAATACCTCCGCCTGCAACTTACTTTGACAAGGTGTGTCATCAGCATCATCATGCTTTAAAGAATTATAATTTCCTTATTTTCAAGATAAGTGACAAATAATCTACATGTTTTCTATCTATAGTGCTATTATGGCTTGTGGCATTTCCGTATGATGTTCCATGGGATATCACAATAGATGAATTATGCATAAGGACTTTTTTATACCTGCTGCTGGAAGCAGACCACTACAGAAAATGTTCATGAAAATTTGGTTAGACCTTCATTTTCACAACCTTGTGAGCATAAACTTTGTTACCTGTAATAGTTCATCTACTTGAACAGCGTGCTTGACCTTTGATATGGGTTCAAGGGTTAAAATAGAATATCAAGCTCACATCTTTTTAAGCTGTGTGTCATATATATTTAAGTCAATAGATACGATTAATGTAGGTCTTATAATCTCAAACGGGCAGTGACTGTAGAAAACTGTACATGATTTTTCTGTTTAGACTATTTCATCACTTGACAACATCTTGAATATGGCTATTAGTTTTTATTCAGTTGCTTGAATAGTTTGTTCAACTTTTATACTTGGTCAAGGGTTAAAATAGAATACCTATTTGCAATTCACAGCTTTGTTAGCTCTGTAGAAGTTATATATCAAAGTCAATAGATCCAATTGCTGTATAGTCTTGCACTTCCCAAAATTCTGGCTTGCATAACAATTATTCATTCATCGGATTAATATAATTATAATTGTTTTCACACTCTCCCTTGAGAACTCCTTCCTTTAAATGCCACAAAATCATATTATAGGCAAGAAACATCTCTCTCAAAGCCTGTAATTACTTGTGCAGATTCAAGCTGTCGTAAAGAAGTATGACATTCTTTTCATAGCGGATGAGGTACTATACTATATTTATCCATACTTCTTAAACTGGATTTAATGAGGAAATTTGACTGCTGAACTTGCTTCTTTCATAATTCTCTTTTGAAGGTCATCTGTGCCTTTGGAAGGCTTGGGACAATGTTTGGATCTGATAAGTACAACATTAAACCAGACCTGGTGTCATTAGCTAAGGTAAACTTGAAATAGCATCCAGACACATTTATCTTTCTCATGATCTAGGAAGCTTAATGTTTTTCATTTTTGTATTTGACTTCCAGGCACTTTTTCTGCATACATGCCAATTGGTGCAGTTCTTGTGAGCCCAGACGTGTCAGATGTCATACACTCGCAAAGCAGTAAACTTGGTACGGTGATACATTTATGACCGCATCTTCATGTGAAGATAATTGTTGCTGACCTGATTTCTCTTATTTTAGGTTCTTTTTCTCACGGCTTTACTTACTCTGGACACCCGGTATCGTGTGCTGTTGCAATTGAAGCACTAAAGATCTACAAGTGTGTTTCCTATGTAGCTTGGGTCATTACCATATTCACAGTCAATTTCAAACACATGCAGTGAAATTAGTGATTTGCAGTATTATATTTGAATAAATGACTACAACTTTAAGCATATTATATCATGTTAATTACTGTTCAGGCTGCTGATTGTTATTATTATTTTCTTGATTCTTGATGTTTTGCAGGGAAAGAAATATTGTTGAGAATGTGAAGAGCATTGCACCGAGGTTCCAAGATGGTGTAAAAGCCTTCTCTGATAGTCCAATCATTGGGGAGGTACCTCTTGTTTGCTAAGCAGCTTTTGGTCTATTCTCTAATATAAAGGGCAAAATTTACTTACTGAAAGTACTTTAAGTTGGTGCTATCAAAATTTCGGATAAAAACATCATATGTAGTTCTGGTGGCTGTATAAGAAAACATGTCATGATTTTAATGGAGAACTTGATAGTAAACGCTAAAGCTCTACTCAAGTTTTGTCCCTGTACAAAACGCATGACTGAGGTGTGAGAATAACTTCTTTGGCTCTGCAGATTCGTGGAACTGGTTTGATCCTGGGGACCGAGTTCACTGACAACAAGTCGCCCAATGATCCTTTCCCTCCAGAATGGGGTAAGTTCAATTTTCCCTTTTGTTCCCATATTTTCCCTTAACATACCAAGAGGAATTACCCTTTAGGAATTCATTGGCAAAAATTTCAACTGTTTAGGGATGTTAACCGGTCGGGCAATTATGCCAGGCCAGTGGTTAACCATATAATAATGTACTTAACCATTATTTAGTTTAATTCCTGAAGCAAGAGCCTTGTTACTTGGAATTCCTGAAACATGGTTCTCATTATATGAACAGATGACTTTGTTATGTTTGGATAGACTATAAAATCAATTAAAATTTAAAAGTAGCAAAAATATCTTCTAAGGTCATTTAAAACCAAACCTTTGTGACAGTGACGCATAACAAGAATAATGCAGCTTCCTATTAGTTGAGGTGACAGAAAATTATTATCCTAATATGTGAAATAGGTTAGGTACTATCATTTTGTGGACTTCGGTTTATTTTCTATTGCTGTGACAGTTTTGATTAAATAATTATCACAGGGATAGGTGCCTATTTTGGAGCACAGTGTGAGAAGAATGGGATGTTAGTGCGTGTGGCTGGGGATAACATAATGATGTCTCCGCCATTTATTATCAGCCCAGGAGAAGTTGATGAGGTAACCTAACCTCTGAGTCATTTATATATAAATTTCAGTTGTCTTCATTTGGTTTGTCTGTAAATTGCTAAATCATTGGGAAAGCAAATAAATTTATTGTAACTAGCCAAGTTACCTCATTTAACTCATGTATATGCTCTTCTAGACAATAAAGACTTTTGAGTGTACCATTGAATCTCACCGTCTTGAATGTACAATTTTGGCGAGTTCTTGCTAATGGCCATATACAGTCAAGCTAGTACAACTTGCTTTAATGATTTTCTCCTCATGATGATTCACTATTATGTGCTGTCCTCTTCTATTGTGCTTTTTTTGTTCCTCGATTGCTATCCACCACCTACTCTTGTCCAATTATTCTTTAGAACAAGATCTTATTTGAGTTCTGATATTGTCCATTTCTTCCCCCAGTTAATCAGAATCTATGGGATAGCTCTGAAAAAGACTGAGGAGAGGGTGCAGGAACTCAAGGCTCAGAGTAAGTAATGGATTTTTACTGATGCTGATGATGATGAAAATAAGGGCAAGGGCTTTAATGGCTTAATGTATAGAGGTATGTTTATTATTTGTTGCATTGGAGACATCAATGATTTCCCGTCATCTCTGTTCTGTTCCTGCTATTTGTCGCTAAATGCAATCAAATTGTTTGCCTAATTCTTTCCATATCTTTATGAACATATGCTTTGATTCTTTAAGCGTGCCTAAGTTACTGAGGAAGGGTGCTAATTCTGTTCAAGGAAACAAATCGAATCCGTGGCCTCTTAGCTGCAAAAAAAATTTCATACTACTAGATTACAAGACTACTGAATATGTAAGTTGTCTTAAGTATAGCATAATACAAACGATAGGGCGGGTTGGGTTAAAAATGGTACAGATACTTGCATGCTAACAAAGGAAGAAACTGTATCAAAGTTTTTGGATTTTTGGAAGTAACTGGACTGTCAACTATTTAACGGCTGTTATGTAGTATGATTTTTTTTCAGTCAATTTTATATTTTTTATATATATGTAAAGATGTGTGTTTCATGGGATTACACAGAATGAATAATAATTTTAATTTTAAATTTTTTGGAAGATTGTATTTAGCATATTTTTAGGTAGACAAGAATGATTCATTATTATAGTGAAAATTTGTGGTTAAATTAAATAGCAACTTACTTTGTTTCTTAATTGGCATGGTCTGGAATCTAATTTAGTCCTCATTGCGTTCAGAAATAACTACAAAAATCTCGCGACTTAAAATGTTAATTTAGTTAAAAATAATAAATATGTACGATATATTATATATATATTTTTTTTTTACAATCATACTCGTTTGTAAATAGAGTACATGAAACACAATTAGTAACAATTTATTGTAAAGAAATGATCAGTGGTAAATGGGGATAAAAATGAAAAGATTGATTTAAAATTTTGAACAAGACAAATTTGTTTATTATATTTAAGGATACTATTATGAGAGAAATTGTAGCATATTAGGCTATGCAAATCTAAAATTTAGAATTTTTTTTTGGCAACGAAAATTTAGAGAATTTGAACGTTATGGCATAAATTTACAATTGAATATCTGATTGGCATGTATAAAACCACAACGGCATTAATTGTCAACACTTTCGTTTAAATTATTAGTCAAAGATCTCCCAAATTTGAGCTGTCTACCTTTCTCGGCCTTTTGGCTAAGGTCAAGTTTGTGTAATTTGAGCTGTCTGATCCCCTTAAAATGTTTTGAATGAAAAATCACTCCATATTCATTATTGCGAATGTGCTTCCATGATAAATACTAGTGAACAACCAAAATCCTGCTCAACTTTTTTTTTTTTTTTGTAAAGAAAACTTGAGTAACTGTCACAAAGTGAATTTCACAAAAGAAATAATCAAGTAATTATATGAAATTACCGGCAATTTATATTTTTATTTTTAGAATCAAGTAGCGAAAGTTGACCCTAAAAAAACTTAATAGAATGACAAATTTTTTGTAAATCAAATATATACTATTAATTTAACATTAAAATATTAAATTGTTGGATCCTACCTCAAAATGTTTCTTAAACAAAACCTTGGTGATTTTTCAAATATTTTTTTCTCGAAGTTTAAGTTCTCAGTACATTTAAATGTTTGGATGGCTATGGGGTTATCAAGTGAGGAAGCAATGGAAAGTGGATAGTATAATTTTGGCAAGACTTGGCTATGTGTGTGAGGCTACAAAATGATGGCGGGTTTATGAGGTGTGCCCTAATTGGATTATGGGTATATTAGAAAAATTGGTTCCAAACAAGTTGTTGACCCTAAAGATGCCAATTAGGAATTCCCTTCTTCAAGAGATACCACAATGAAAAGAAAAAGGGGAAAATGACATGAAAAAAAGGGTTAAAAATTATAATATTATAAGTCAGGAACCTAAGAATTCAAAATCTTAGAAAAGGAAGTGATGTCTAATCAGATATTTTGCAAATATAGTTATATGACAAAAATACTTTCGTAACAAAAAGTTTATTAGCAAGTTGTACTGACAATAACAAGTGTTGAACAGCAAATGATAAAAAATATACTAGTAATGACAAATTATTTATTAATAGGTTGTGAACTGGCAATGATAAGTTTTGAACAACTGATGAGAAGAAATTTATTGACAATAACAAATTTGATATCTTTTTTTTTCAATTTAATATAAAGGCATTTTAGTTATTTGACTACAGTTGCAAAATATCATATCAGGCATCACTTTCTTTTTTGAGATTTTGAACTCTTAGATGTCTAAATTAAAATATTGCAATTTACAACTTCTTTTTATGTCAATTTTTTCCAAGAAAATGACTAGATATAATGTAAATATTATCTAGACAGGTTTGTAGGCCAAGTGAGAACTTAACACTTTCTTTAAGATTTTTTTTTTATTTGAAGACGAAGTTATGGGTTTGAACCCTTAATAAAGAATACAATAAATATGTAATGTGTATACCAAAAATAAATATCATTGCTATTTATGTATAAGTTAAGGTGCGTCTAATATCCTGAAATATTTTTTTTAAGTATATTCAACACCATGAGTTATTTTTTACTCATTTAGCATCCAGAAGTATTCTTTATGTGCACATAGCATCCTAAAATATTATTTAGTACTTAAAGTATTAATTCTTTTTAAGAGCAATTACACCCTCAAAGTATTTTTTAGAAGCAATTTTAACATCACCATTAACTCATCAACAAAATATATTAAATGAATGTGCATAAAACAGTTTAAAGTATTTTTCAGTATTTTTTGAGATAATAGACGCACCTGAAAAAAATATTTTAAGGTGTAGTTTGGTTTTGTGGGGGTGACAATGAAGAAGTTGATAGAAAAATCATGCTTACTACCACTTTACAGAACTGTATATGAGATTTTTATCTCATATGGTTCCTCGGCTCGATTCTTTT